TTGGTAAAGGGCAGAGAGCTCCAGTCCAACTCAGATGCCAGCAAGGTGGAGGTGGAGTACTGGTTTGGGCTGGTGTCATCAAAGATGAGCTTGTGGGACCTTTTCGGGTTGAGGATGGAGTCAAGCTCAACTCCCAGTCCTACTGCCAGTTTCCGGAAGACACCTTCTTCAAGCAGTGGTACAGGAAGAAGTCTGCATCCTTCAAGAAAAACATGATTTTCATGCAGGACAATGCTCCATCACACACGTCCAAGTACTCCACAGCGTCGCTGGCAAGAAAGGGTATAATAGAAGAAAAACTAATGACATGGCCTCCTTGTTCACCTGATCTGAACCCCATTGAGAACCTGTGGTCCATCATCAAATGTGAGATTTACAAGGAGGGAAAACAGTACACCTCTCTGAACAGTGTCTGGGAGGCTGTGGTTGCTGCTGCATGCAATGTTGATGGTTGTAACGTGAGGAAGTATGGGTTTTCTGTGCCAAAGGTCGTATTTGCCCGGCTGGGTCAGAGCTGGGTCACGCAGCACTTTCACCCACAGATTAAGACCTGAGCCGACAGCAAGTCTGAAGGACTCCACAACATCGAGAACACCTGCATCTTCAGAAGAAGGACTTCTCACACAATATAGTCATAATAAAAGAGTCTTACGCTTTCTTTGTTTATTAATGCTAAATAATCATTTTATCACTTTGCTCATTATAAATGTATTTTAATCAAATGAATGATTATTATGCTTTGGGTAATCATAATGAACTATAATGAATCAGTATACTTAATTAAATAATGTTTTTGGGAGATGTTTAGTGATTACCTTCACACTCGCTCACACAGGTCTGGATTCACAGTAACTCCAAAACACATTTGCTCTACGCACAACAAGTTTGCTTTGGGAAGAGAAGTGGTTTTGGTAAGTTAGTCAGTTCGAGAGAGAGAACGAAAGAGAGAAGAAGTGTGGAACCAACGCCACGGGGAAAGGAGCCCTGCCGGCTTTTCTGCCCCCCCCCACCCCCCCCACCCCCCCCCCACCCCCCCCCACCCCCCCCCCCACCCCCACCCCGCTATTTCTGTTAAGCCAGACAGAATAGCTGAAATGCAACCCACTAACGCAGACTCGTCCCAGAGTCTTTGATTTCTGAGATAATTTAAACTTGAGAAAGCGCATCTGCTAAACGCTTCATCAACGTGTACCGAGGTCAACTCTGGACTGCACCGTCGCACACCTTCGTCTTCTCTGTCAGCCAAGGTGGCATCTGGAGAAACATCCTCCTTCGGTCAGGATCTAAAAGAGGGTCCTAAATGCGGTGAGGCAGAACATGACCAGATAGCGTTTTGATGATGTTTTCTAATAAGAACTAAAGTTTAATGGCAAAACATCACTTTTCACTCAGATCACCTTTTCTCTCCCTGAAGCAATCTCAGACACATGCATGCACGCATTCATAATTACATCATCCTCAATCTTAGCACATCCAACAAGGTCTATTTGTGCAAGCTTAGAATATCAACTGTTAAAGATTGTCCAACAAGGTTGCCAATGTTGATTGTTTCCTATGATTGTCATTTCAAATCGTTAGTTTAAATTGAAGAATTAAAACTCTTAAATTTCAAACTTGTCTTTTCATTGAACTGAAACACAGACACCCGGATATGATCGTCAGTTTATCGATGAAAACAACCTTTGGGTCTTCTTATCTCTATAAATTTGGTTATTAATTTTGTTAAAATTATTATTCCAGATTAATATGTAGAATGGTTCCTCTTTCATAAAAGAGCCATAAACCATTACGCTACATGGTGAAAAGATCAAAACACTGACAGAATCCATGGATGGCAGGCTTTTGAGTGTCCTTGCAAAGAAAGGTGGCTATATTGGTCGCTGATTTGTTTTTGTACTGTTTTTGAATGTCAGAAATGTATATTTGTGAATGTGGAGATGTTATATTGGTTTCACTGGTAAAAATAAATAATTGAAATGGGTATATATGTTTTTTGTTAAGTTGCCTAATAATTATGCACAGTAATAGTCACCTGCACTCACAGGTATCCCCCTAAAATAGCTACAACTACAAACAAACTAAAAACTACTTCCAAAAACATTCAGCTTTGATATTTTTCCTTTCTCTTTCACCTCTGACTCCGTGTCTGGTCGGAATCACAAAGCATTCAAAAACAATAACAATAAAGTTTTAAGTATCAGGGGTGACATTAAAAACAGCCGCTTTGATGCTCCACCTGAGAGTGAATCTGTAAGGCTTGTTACCAGCATTCAGACATCAATTCTGTTTGCTTCACAGCCAGACAGGACATGGTTAAAAAAAATTAAGAGTTTTTTGGGTTCATTGAGAACATGGTTGTTGTTCAATAATAAAATTATTCCTCAAAAATACAACTTGCCTAATAATTCTGCACTCCCTGTATGTTGTAATTGAAAAAGAATAGTTCATGACAGACATTAAGTTTCTATTTTTACAGCAAATACACCAGCCAGACCTACTTTATGATAATGATTTAAGTTCATTAAACAAGTTCTGTGATTATTTTTATTTTGTCTGAAAAAATCTAAAACTTTTTGCTCGGCAGCATTTGAAACCTTTCTCCTGAAGCTCAGCTGAGTATAAAACCAGCTGCTGAGTTGTAAGAGACGCATCATTTAGCTTCAAGTATCCATCTTCATCCAGGAAGAACTCTTAATATTCTTGTGTGGGTTTAAATCTTTCATAAATGACGTTGAATAATATTTTTACTGTAATGATGACGATGTCTGATTGATGCTGTAAGTCTCCAATCCGACCCCGAGCAACAGGATAATAAGCGCTGATGTGTGTCCACTGCCCCTTTCTACCCTAATGTGTATAAAACCTATTTTCACAGCCTCACGTGTACTAATGTGTGTGTGTGTGTGTGTGTGTGTGTGTGTGTGTGTGTGTGTGTGTGTGTGTGTGTGTGTGTGTGTGTGTTTCTGAGACACATTATCATAGTGGTTTGAACAGACCCGTTTCACGCCTACACAGCTGCTAATAAGACAGATCCATTAGGAACTGGTGGAAAATGCAACCGTCTCATTTATCTGTGATGGAGAGATGGAGGAAAGAGAGGAAAGAACATCGTGAATATGAGATGAAGCATAGAAAATGGGAGAACAGAGAGAGTCAGAGCTCGTTGGTGGAAAACCGCTTCTGGTCCGAGTCAGACTAGACGACCACTTCCTGCTACATAAACAAAACCTCAGAATAAAATAACTAAAGAAGAAAGTTGCTCTAGCTTTAGCTGTCTATTAAATATGAGGACAGGTCATGTCTTATGTTTTGTTGAGGTAGCTGGCGTTTATGTTCTGGGGCCATCTGTGCACTACCTGAATATCTACCTGAATGGCTACGTCATGATCTAGATCTTGAATGTCAAACCTCCACTAGTCGCAGAGATAAAGGCAAAGAAGGCTGATGCACCAAGATACGGAAACAATGAACGATGATTACAGAAAAGAGAATAAAAATAACGATAAACGATAGTTTGGATAAAACCTGAGAAAAGCAGCTGAAGAGAATCAGGAGAAGACAAAAAGCATTCATAAACTGTGCATAAAACAAGAGACAAATGATGTTGATTCTCAGAGGTTTTCATTAGTCTGTGTGCGAGTTTTCAGCATCGCATGTGAAAGAATTTAATTTCATGTCTGTAAATGTAAAATTATTCTGATTCTTGTCCCTGGTGGTCCGTCACATGACTGAGCTACAAGGATGTGGGAGGAGGAGGAAATGAGGCGAAATTGAATTAACAAAGAAAACATGAAAAGAGAATCGGTTCCTGAAAACTGCGACTGTGCTGTGACACTTCGTTACAGTTTAATGTGTTCCTTCATCTGAGCTGCAGCTGCAACGCCTTTATTAATTGTTCTTCATTGAGTTGCATTCAGGACGACTCAGGCAGCTGATGCACCTTTAAACATTACAAAATGTAGCTTGCCATCCCTAAGACCATCTTATATTGTATTCACTTTCTCACATACAGATTGCATAACGTTGACCTAAGGGAGAGAGTCAACAGATTGATTTATTCTTATCTGTCTAAAAACACACAGAGGTCTTTAAACCAGCAGCCATGCCAGTTCCACCAGAGGTTATGATATAATGGATGACAGAGGCCAGTCTGGGTTTAAGGGTCTCCACCTCTGCAGCTCTGAGGTCTCAACTCCAGGCGAAGGTTGAAGCTGAACCAGAAGCTTTCTAATTGCCATTTAGTCATTAAATATCTGCACATAATATTAAGGTTTTGGTCAAAATAAAATCGGATTTGGGCCTTAGTTAGTGACTGCCGTGCTGCTATGAGTGCTGTTAGCCCACATGGGTTAAATAAGACTAAACATTTTCATTCTGTCAAACATCAATATCTGTACACACAACAAGATGAGTCAGTCACATAAAATACTCATTACAAGCTCCGAAACAATAATTAAAACCATTACAGTTAGTAAAGAGAAGGCCGGTCCATCTCTGTGCTGTGCTACATGCTGCTTTCCTCCTATAGGAGAAAGAACAGCAGCCTCCTCAAGCAGCAGAAAGGAAAAACAAACCCAACGTCATTTTGTGTCCTTGAGAAATTCATCTGCTCCTTCTTCTTTCATGTTTGTAAGTCAGACGGAAAGCAACCTGAAACTTTACTGAACTCTTCCACATCCACCCACCCAGACACACCTTGGCATCCACTTTAGATAAACTTTTAAATACATTTAAAACATGATTCATGGCAGGTAGCGCTCATCAGAATTAAACAAAAATAAAAATTATTTGCAAAAAAAGCAGCAAACATCTCTTGTCATTCTTTCTGTGTGTTATAGGTAATAATTAAAAATAAATAGGCTGTAAGCCACAGCATAGACTAATTAAATAAATATGTTTAGTGTTTTAAAAAAGCTTTTTCTAAGCTGCAAGAGGACATCAATCCAGCACTGAAACAACAAAGTCAAACATGCAGTAGAACAACAAACGTGAGAACTCACTGATCCTGCAGGACGAAGTCCATGTTCTCAGAGGAAACCTGTCCAGTCACAGGATGACAGAATGATGTGGTCCTATCATTGTGGCTGAAGTGAACAGAAAAGACAAAAGGTGATCAGCCTCTGTTGCTTCGTGAACACTCTGAAGACTTCGCTGAATAAAAACATCACTCATCCTGTGTTCCCAACAACACACAGCTGATCATTCTGCAGAGGAGTGTGGAGACTCGGAGCCCAGTATCCTGATGGGCTTGGCTGCTGGACCCTACTCACCCCACCCATTTCATGTGAGGAGCAAACTGGTGACCTCAGCACAAATGCTGGACAGGTCACGCCTGGGCCTCCATCACTTACCGACTCATTCAGTCGGCCATTCAACGCCTCAAGCAGAGTGTAAAAGCTTCCAACTGGGTAAACACAATAGGGTGGCATGGAGGGTCACCGTGTGTGTGTGTGTGTGTGTGTGTGTGTGTGTGTGTGTGTGTGTGTGTGTGTGTGTGTGTGTGTGTGTGTGTGTGTGTGTGTGTGTGTGTGTGTGTGTGTGTCCCTACAGGACAGGGGATGGACTTAGCAAAAGAAATTGACATATTGCCTCCATCAGAGGTGGAAAGAGTAATAGAATTTCCTACTTAAGTACGAGTACCAATACTTTGATAATTTTTACTCAAGTAAAAGTAAAAAGTATCATAAATAAAATGTGCTCAAAGTAAAAGTTACTTAGTTACATTTTTGTCAGCGTAAGGATGGCTACATCTAAGTAGTGCAAAATCACAATGCCAGTTCACAATTCGCTCATGTGTGCGCACACTCACTCACACACACACACACACACACACACACACACACACACACACACACACACACACACACACACACACACACACACATCATGACTAATTTAACTACATTGAACTGCTTTAGTAATAATTTAATCTCTTATTCTGGAGTAAAATAAAGAAACAAGCTAAATCATCACATATCTGTGGCATCAAGGAGCATCTTCTGAGTTCAAACACAGGGATGGAGCTCAATGTTTACACCTGAACAGTATCAGGATGTTTTAACTCACAGAGGCCTGCAGGTCTTCTGTTTATGAGCAAAGCCCTGAGAATCCGCTTGATGATGAACTGATGTTTTGGAGCAGAAGTGTACACCCACACCCCCACGGTTTAGACGCGGTGCTCATGCAGGTGTCTCTTCCTGTTCCGACGCTGCTACACGCAATATTTTTAATTTATTAAGCCTATAATTTATTTTTACTCAGCAACGGATATGATTTAAAATGTAACGAATTACAATTCTTTTTTAAAAACGTACTCGAGTAAAAGTAAAAGTACAGATTTAAAAAATGACAAAAAGTATAAATACACTAAAAAGCTACTCAGTTACAGTAACGTGAGTAAATGTAATTCATTACTTTCCACCTCTGGCCTCGATTATATCACATTACAGGGTAAGACTTTTATGGATTTCTAAAAAAAAAATCTTCATTCCTGAAAGGGACAAACTTTTAAAGTGTCATATCATGCTGTTTTAAACCCTTGAGAGCCAAGTTAGGTTTCAGAACAGAGACTAGTTTCAGGGAGAGGCGCAGGGCCTGATGTCGGAGGAGGAAGGAGTGATGCCTTTTCCATCCACGTGTTTAAAGATTTTCAACATAAAATGTAAAATTTGCTGCTGAAACAGGTTTGGTTTTTCATGAGGAAATAGCAATATCATATGGTAAAAAGCTCCTTTAAGCCCATTTAAGCTCCAAAGTAAATCCATCTGTAGTAACGCTGCTTTAAGTTCAGCAGAGGCTCTTATTACTCACGCTTCCAGCCTCCTGTTTGATGTGGCTGAAGAGCTAATCCTAGAGAAGAACAAGGTTCCCAGGAGACCTTGTGACATGGCAGGAGAACATCCCAGGAGAGGCCCTCACAGAGATGATATAAAGCTCACATCCTGAGACCTGGACACATCTGGTCAGAGGATCAGCGTCTATCAGAGGATCAGCGTCTAGGGCAAATGCTCTACAAACAGATCCTCTGCACAGCACAGACTCGTGCCTCTAGGCCCCTGGACCTCTCTGGTTGTTCTGAACAGTAATCGAGTACTGAATCCGACTGTATTCGAGTACTGAATCTGACTGGAAAGTGAATGGCTCTTAAAACAACATCAACATGAAAACTTCAGACTTTACAAAATAAGAGATACCTCTTTGCCCTAAGATTCAGAATAAATTAAAAGTCCTTCATTTTTCATGAATCTTTTTCCCAATCTGGAAGTTTGCTTGTTGTTTCCAGAGTCTAGAGCAGGAGTGGGCAGCTCCAGTCCTTGAGCGTGTTTTTGTTCTTTCCCTGCTCTGACACACTTAATTCACCTGTTCTAGAGCTCATCAAACTCTGCAGAAGCCTGTTGATCACCTTCTGACTCTGAGGGGCTTTAATTTATCAAAAGGACCAACTCACATAAAGCAGGAATGCCTCACAAACAGTCAGCTGCGGCATGTGAAAAGGAACGGACGGAGCTCTGAAGGGTAACGAGACACTCTCCTGGCAGATCAACAAGTCTGGCAGCTCTTACTAAACGAGTGCTGAGGAGGGTAAACACCTTCTGGTGAGGATCTAAAATACCTTTCAATGAAGTAAAAGCCTTTTAATACTGTGGTGATATGGTTTGCTTTCATTTTCTTTTTTAGAAATTGTTTGGTAACTAAAATTAGTTTAAAAAATACATTAAAAGGCAGAAATAATATGTACCAAACCATCTGCTGAAAGAATTCAGACCTGATGTATTGTGGGAGAGAACACTTGCTTTTTGAAGTTAACCAATCAGCGTCAAGATGAGTGTGAACAAAAACTGCATCAGATGATCGGTGCAGACAATAAAGGCACAACTTGCTAAGAAACATTTAGCCAAGCACTCCAAAAATTCTTGTTTTTCATGTAATTTTTCCAACCTGGAAAGAGAACAGCTTCAGTGAATCGATCTAAAGCCCAAATATAAAACACGGATTCTCATAACGAGTGGATGTAATGCAAGAGAAGGTACACCAAGTTCAGCACGTACACACTTTAGATATTACTGTGATGACAGGAACTTTCATTCACACAAGAGTGTCAGAAGTAGCGGATGCATTCAGAATTCATATTGATCGTACAAAATTAAAAGCTACGCGCTAAACCCATTAACTATCGCGGGCTGTCCATAAAATAGTAACGAGAAAACCATCATCGCTGAGGTCATCACCTCAGATCCTCTCTGTGAATTTGGATATTGATCTCTCACATTCACACAAAGAGTGGTGTGTTTGTGAGCTGCTGTGTGGCCTTTTATCCTGGGAAGCTGATAAAACCATGTGAGCTCACAGGCTATGAATGGGGGCAGCTGTAAGCATCCTGAGAGGCTGTTTATCACTGCTTTCATTCTGCAGTGAGGTTCAAAACAGACATTATGTGTTATGTCTGAGAAACACTGGTAATGATGACCCTGTGTGTAAAGGGAAAATGCTGAAACCAGTGTTAAAAGCTCTATACAGAACCCTTTTAGCAGTGACCTTTATGGCTGGAAATGAAAGATTTCTACAGACTGTGCTTCATATCAATGCACTTATTTTCATTTCCTGTTATTTTGCTCCTCAAACTGAGTCCTCCATGCAATAAAAACGTTGGGCTGTGCAATGAATTAGATTGCATTTAAATGAATGCTTCGAAACAATCACAAAAATGATGTAATCAACAAAAATAGAAGCACTCCTTCCAGTAAGTCCCTTCTTTTCCTGGGGGACTTAACTCTCACATGGGCAATGGCAAGGAGACCTGGAGAGGTGTGGTTGGGAGGAAGTCAGGAGCATTGTGGTTTCCTTCCTGGCCGTGGGACACTGGACCAGCTCGCAGCGTCCAGGCGGGTGTGTGGGAGTTTTCTAACCAATCTACTGTACATATGTGTTGTGGATTTGTAGAAGGTGTTGGACTGTGTCTGGAGCATCTAGATGCCTCCTGTCACCTCCGTAAAGGAAGACCCAGGACACGCTGGAGGAACAGCTGGTCTGGGAATCACCCAGAGGTGCTGGCCCAAGTGGCTGGGGACGGATGGACAGATGGATGAAATAATCATTTCAATCACTTATTTCCTGTTGTGGAAATTTTATGTTTAACCAAAAAAGAAAAAAAAAACCCTGAGGTTGATTAAGTTAAAATGTTTTAATTCATTTTTCCACCACACTGTCTGCTAAATACAAATAAGTTCAATATGATTCAAGTTCTTCAACAGATCTTCACAGCCTTGGCTTGCTGAGCTCATTGTTACTGCTTGTTTAGGGGCATTGGAGTGTCAGAATCATCCCGTTCCTTAGCTCTCAGGGGCATCATGATGATACTTCCTCTTAAATGTTATCATAAAAGATTAGGTTTTACAAAGGATGCTGAATCCAGACACAAACTTCAGACAGCCTGACTCATCATTATGCTGACATCTCAGCTATTCACTGTGATATTCAACCTTAGCTGAGATTAGAGCTTTGTTACCAAACATATCCATCCATCCATCCATTCATCCATCCATCCATCCATCCAGCCATCCATCCATCCATCCATCCATCCATCCAGCCATCCATCCATCCATCCATCCATCCATCCAGCCATCCATCCATCCATCCATCCATCCATCCATCCATCCATCCATCCATCCATCGTGAGGAACATAAGCACTTGAACACCTTGTGATTTTGCTAGCTTTCCCAGTTAAACACCACCATGGGGCGACGGTGGCACAGGAGTTAAGTGCTCGCCCCGTAATCGGAAGGTTGCGGGTTCGAGCCCCGCTCTGTCTGTCGCTGTTGTTGTGTCCTTGGGCAAGACACATAACCCACGTTGCCTGCTGGTGGTGGTCGGAGGGACCGGTAGCGCCAGTGCTCGGCAGCCTCGCCTCTGTCAGGGCAGCTGTGGCTACATTGTAGCTCATCCCCACCAGTGTGTGAATGTGTGTGTGAATGGGTGAATGACTGATCGTGTTGTAAAGCACCTTGGGGGTTCCATGACTCTAGAAGGTGCTATATCAAATACAGGCCATTTACCATCTGTCTCTAAGAGTGGGCATGCACCTAC